TATTTATTCCGCTCTCCGATTTTATATTACTCACGGATTTCAATGTTAAACCAGTGATATTACGATTTCGTATGTCCCATCTTTAAGGGGATGTAGGAAAAAACGCGTACAATTCTTGTATAATGTTAAAAAATTAACTGTTACTTTAGTAGCATAATTTACAACTAAGTTTAATGAATGAGAGAGATGCACGAGGTACAGAAAAAGCTCTAGAATTTATTTTCCTTAAATTTGCGATTTATGTATCCGTTTGTCATAAAAATTTGTCTTTCCACTTTTTCCCGAGACTACAAATATTCGAGTACAAAGTAACCGGTTTCGACTTATTTCTACTTAACAAGTAGTTAAATAATTATGCGATTAGGGAATTGAGGACATAAATAAAACCCTGACGAAAGAGCCGAAATATTAGTTAAAAGCTTAACCGACCCAATCTCTAGCCGAGTACAGTGGGACTGATTTCTTCGAAATATTACATGTAAAAAAATATTACATTGGAAAAAAAGAAAGAGATTTTTAATCAAATTTAAAATTTTCTACCCATAACATCCTTCAAAAAAATAATAATATATTATAAAAATATAAAATAATAGCTAGGGGCGCCCCTAGTGGGTGTTTTTGGCATACCGTGGCAGAAACCGGTTTTCCGCTTTTATATACAGTAGATCAGTGGTTCTCAACTGGGGTACATGTACCCCTAGGGGTACATGTAATAAAGACAGACATTTTTCCAGTTCAACGAGAGTGATCGAAAAGTCGTAAATTTTGGTAATTTCCGTGGACAACACCTGGTCTTAAAACGAATTAGTTAGAAAACAAATGATGGACAATCTATTAAGTTTAACGTATTTAGATTTTTACAGCTATGATGAGAAACGTTTAACATTTACAACAACCCTGCCGCGTCCTTTGAGATATACTAGTGATGAAACAAAAGAGACATTAAATAATACAAGGTTAGGGTTATACAAATAATTTTCTGAGGATTCTGTAAACATATTTCATTGAATAATGTGTTAGGCATTATTGTTTTTCACAAATTTTCATTCAGTCTATTGTAGATTATAGTTTATCGTTTTAGGTCACGGCTGCCCCGTCTCTTTTAAAGAAAATTGCCAGAGTCCAGATGAGATGAAATTTTTAATTAATTACAACAAAATACATAATTTATTTAGACTAACTCTTAAATTTCAAATAATTGGAAAAAAAGAAAGAGATTTTTAATCAAATTTAAAATTTTCTACCCATAACATCCTTCAAAAAAAATAATAATATATTATAAAAATATAAAATAATAGCTAGGGGCGCTNAAATGTATGTACCTGATTAAATTTATTATTATTTATGTAAAATAAGTAATTCACTTTTAGTTATAGTTTTTTTTTATGACGCTCAGTTATGAGGACTGTAATCATCTAACACAGTAATTATAAAACTTACATACAAAAATATAAGGGGTACTTGAGAAACAACTAATGGGCTAATGGGGTACATCAACAAAAAAGGTTGAGAACCAAATCACTTAATTACGTTTTGTTAAATTTGTTGCTAATAGATGGCACTGCTTGTACTTTAGATTAAGTATAAATAGATCAAAAATCTTCATTTCAACCGAGGGCGCCTTGGTCTGGTCCGCTGTGCTCCGCCCTAACGCTTGCGTTGCAGCTTGCAGTCTGGGCTCGAAGCACCGGTTTCCTTTTTTTTTCTTTCCTCAAACGGTCCGCTATCAGGCTTGCGTTGAAGCGTGCAGCCGAGTTTCGACCCACGTGTCGCCTTTTTCTTCTTTTTTTCTCTCAAACTCTCCTCCATTAGGCTTGCATTGCAGCAATGCAGTCCTGGGTTCGTGCCCCCAGTCGCCTTTTGTTTTTTTTTTCTCTTTAAAATTTCATTCATCTCGGCAGTTACGTCCACACACAGCTAAGTTACGTAATGTCGTACATCGCATTTTAAAATAACTATTGGGTTTCTGTAAATCAATTGATTTATATCCTCATCTGTAGTGTTCGTTTTAACGTAGCGCCATCTATTGGCAGGAAATTTAACGAACCTATAAAAATAATATAACTTTAAAATATATATATTATATTCACTTTATAACGTTTTGTTAAATCATTTTATTAAATTAAAAACATAAATCCGATATTTAAACAAAATATAAATTTTTATTTTGATTTTACAATTAATGCAGGTGGCGCATGGTGATTTTACTTCATATAGTCNATACTATTCACTTAATAACGTGTTGTTAAATCATTTTATTAAATTAAAAACATAAATCCGATATTTAAACAAAATATAAATTTTTATTTTGATTTTACAATTAATGCAGGTGGCGCATGGTGATTTTACTTCATATAGTCTAGAATTTGACATAAATTCAATGATTTGTTCTTCATTTGGTCCTCGCAGTAGTCGTCACCGATAGAAACTAAATCAACTCAGGCACTGAACAAACACGTGGTCGGTTCCTTACCTGTTTCGGCAGCTATCTTGGCTCAAAAACAGCGCCCTCTGTCGGATTTGGCGCTTGCCAATAGGAAAGTTTGTTCATAAGAAGGACAGAAGGGATCAAGTCCTAAGAAGGAGTCTTAAGGAGCCTCCGAGAAGCTGTGAGAGTTCGAGTTCAGCACGAGAAAGAAAGACGTGTCTACTCACAGAGTTGGAGAGGAAAGCTGATATTCGAAGAAGCCTGAGAACAAAAAGAGAAAATAATAAAAATCGTGAGTACAGGAAATACCATCTCCAAGAAGACGTCCTACCCAAGGCACACACCGACCGAGTTTAAAGAAATCCCGGGTGACTCAATTCTATTTTTCCGACTACTAATCCTTCTATCCCTCTTCTTATTTCCCTAGATATACGTAAGTTAGTTTTAAGATAGATGTAAGTTAGGTATTAAATACGCGGCTAGATCAAATTGGTTGTTACGCGCCTTTCTTGGGTAATACATCCGTTGGTTGCGAAGAAATTAAGTGTTTTTTGTACGATACATATCCCATATTGTATAATATTACAAACAGTTGGTGATCCAGCATATAGTATTTTGATAATTCATACTATAAAATGTTTAATATTGTTAGATCTAATCATGTCCATGCCAAGGAAATATTTTTCTGAGTGTCAAAAAAAAAATTAGCAGAAAAGAAAAAAGTAGAAAAGCTAAATTTCAAGAAATTACAAGTAAATCTGTTTTCTTGGATACGAAGTAATTCTAGCAATGAAATTGTTTCGATTTCAGAAGTTACAATTCAAGCTTCAACTGGAGAAGAAAGTTCCACACAAACTACACAGTCTTGCAATGAAAATGTTGAAACTGTGAAATTCGTTGAAGAATCGTATGTTTATACAAATATGATCGAATCAGAAAATAACAATGGTACAAATATGATCAAGTGAATATAAATGATCCAGGTTTATGGCCAAGTATTATAACTGATAAGTTTAGAATGTTTTGTGTTAAAACCGGACCTGTACAACACAAAGGAGTTTTTGCTAAGAATGCTGCAGGTATCATTATCCACTACGTACTACTTTAAGTTTAATCGAATTATTAAGTAAATACGACTCTGTGCTAATGGATCGTATAAACAGAATAAAAAATTCGAAAAATAGAATTGTGCATCATTTAGCACATAGATCACAAGAACAAATTATTTCTGCGTTAGGAAATGAAATCCTTAACAAAATTAAAGACGATATAAAAGCAGCCAGTATCCAAATGGATTGTACTCCTGATATTTCCCATAAGGAACAAACTTCAATCATTATTAGGTATGTAAATTTCGAAGAGAAAACATTAACTATAAATGAGTCATTTATAGGGTTTATTGAAGTAACTGATGGACTAGCAAAAACTCTATTGAAAACATTAAGTGAGCTTGATTTAGATATTATGAATCGTAGACGGCAGGGATACGACAACGGTAACAACATGAAAGGGAAATATAAAGGTGTACAATCTAGAATAATTGCTCTGAACCCTCATGCAATATATGTGCCTTGCCTATCACACTTTTTTAATTTATTAATTTGTGATGCCTCTTCCAGCAGTATATATTGTAAAAAAAATTTTTGGGATATTGCAACGTTTATATTGCTTATTTTCTGCATCTACAAAAAGATAGGAAATTCTACAAAAGCATTTAAACATTACTCTTAAACCATTATGCGATACTCGTTGGGAAGCCAAAATCATGTATACACAGTTTGAACAAACTTGTAATGCCCTAGAAGAATTTATTGATGTACGTAACGATAATACAGCGGTATCCGAAGCTAAAAGTCTATTGGATTCAATACAAGAAATGCCATTTATTTTATGTTTAATAATATTATTTGCAATGTTGTCTAAAATTAACGCTATCAATATACTACAAGTATTTCAAGCGAAAATAATTATTCTTGACTCAGCTTTTAAAACACTGTAATTGATACTGTTATTGTACAAATAGAAGATAGATTTAAAAATATACCAAATATTATTACTGATTTCAAATTAATCACTGATATAAAAACATTAGAAAAACATGAATTAGAAAAATGTTCCAAAAGCTTTGTAAAGTTTTATAACAAAGATGTAGATGAAAACTTAATCCAGGGATTTGATTTTGAATGAAAGGGATGTAAATAACGCGCAAGACATAATGCAATACATTCTAAATAATAATTATAATGAGTTATTTCTAAATGTATTAACTGTGTTAAAACTTTTCTTCACGTTGCCAGTTACTATAGCAAGTGCTGAGCGCTCTTTCAGAAAATTAAAATTAATAAAGAATTATCTTCGATCAAGCAAAAACAAAATCACGCTTTATATAAACACGCATTAGTAATATATGTTATTCATTAGATCTTCAAGTTATATTTCAATCATCAAATTAACAACAATCTATTCACATACAGTATATACTCTATACTATAGAGTATATAATCTGTATGTAACACGTAGACGACATTCGTGTTAAAACTTGTCAATTTAAAAATATATATTACATTTACTTAGTTGTTGCGATAATGATATAGCGCATCTATTTTACACTATATCAGTACTGAGGCAGGTAGTACAGTACAGTACAGTAGATAGCGCTTGCGTGGAATCGAAAGTGTTACTCTGTGAAAAGTCTATACAAGTAAGTAAGTATACAAGTATGTATTTTCCACATCTACCAACTCGTGTTTTCTTTCATTTCTGAATGGTAGTTCTAATAAATGTTCTTCAGTAACCGAGTTAATAAAATCACTAAACTCTGGTAGTTCGTGTGTCATGGGATTCGGCATGGCCAATGGTTACTAACTTCACATGGCCAGCCCGGCCACGTAGAGTTTTTTGAGTTTCCTTCACGTTAGTAACATCTAGAATCCAGCTTTCCATAAAAGTCTTCCGGGGATGTATCTCCCTCGGCAGATCGCTCATGTGTCGCGTTGCCCTAACCAAATAAACTAAATTAATTCTAACCAGCGATTATTTGTTGTGACATCGTAACAATGCCGGGCTACAACTTTTCGTCACAATGTTTTCAATTCTTTTAGTGGTTGTCATGCCCCTCTACATTATACTTCTCCTTTAACAATAGAGTCGTGCCGGTTATCTGACTCTATTTAGAGGGAAAATTTGGAATTGAAGTAACGTGACTTCCGATTNCAATTTAAAAATATATATTACATTATATTTAAATTATACAGTAATAGTAATCTAAAATTTCATATTCTAAATAAGAAAAACAAAAAAAAAAACGAATAGTAAAATATAAAGCATGTAGAAAGCATGAATTAGTCGAACGTAAATCATTCACTCACCAATACTTTATGAATGAATTTTTGTTTTACCACGTGACACGTTTTATCCAATAAAAAACTCCCTCGAGAAAATACGTTATAGTCCAATGAGCAGGCAGGAAAACGATCACATGACGTACATCGAATGTCGTCTGTTTGACGGCAAGTTGTGTCGCTTCTGCAATAATGCCCGTTCGTGCGGATATAATTCCTCCACCTCCAGCAAATTCACGTCAGCCCGGAGTTACTCGTTCTCTACTTTATAACGGTTCGAAATTCCAGGGTCATCAGAAAAGTAAAGGCAACTGTTACGACGTAGAAGTTGTCTTACAGGTAAATAAGCCTAACGGATTAAGCCTAAAGCATGAGTTTTAAAATAAGCCGATCTCGATTGTTTTTGTTTTGTTTTGTTTTGTTTATGTCCTGTTTTTCCTACGTTCTAGGCATTGTTCCAAATATATAAGTGTAAATTATCAATAAAACCCAAAGTATAAATCTATTATATTTAAAACACCGGTCAGTATTAGGCTTAATATATAGTGGTGCACTCTCGCGGATTTTTTAAAATCAACTAACGGTTTTGACTTTAATTTTTTAATTTATATGAGAATTATCTTTAAATAACTCCACTAACAGAAATAATATAAAAAAGGGAATTGAACATTAGTAATGATAGCTTTAACCCATCTTTTTATAATTAAAACTATAATTGTTTTCTTACACAGCTGTCATCCATATGTTGTGATCAAGAAATTTCTTGATAGTTTCTTTTGTCATTTTGAATTACATTATCCAATTGACAAAGATTATATTCGAGAATGTCTTTTCCACAATTTACTAAATCGTCTTAGCTAGCTAATTGTTATGCAGTACTTTTCATATTAGTCTGTTAATTAAACTTATTGTGATCATTTTTAAAACGAATTATATATACATAACCGAGCAAAACATTTACATCAAATTTACACTCAACTGAAAAATTGATGGAAACACATCCAGAAAATTTAACCGATAAAAGTCGAAATCTATGCTTTTTTAAAAAAATAGTGGTCGAGTATGTATGTGATACAAATTGCATTGTGAAAGAATACAGAATATACTCGGTTTGTATTTGAACCGTCTATCCTGTGGACTGACGTGTAAGACTTGTCGCGTTGCCGTTGTGATCGGTGGTGCGCTCAGGATTTAATTTTGGGGGAGCCAAGTTGAACGGATTAAAAAGTTTTTAACATAAACTCGATAAGATTCCCACCTTATATGACCACTAATTCATAAGTGGTATAGAAATAGAAGACGTGACACTATACCATGTTTACTGGCATATGAGATGAGGTTTTTATTAGTTTTTCACTGCTTCAAAAACCTAGGTTTCTTATATGTACAAACAAAAGATTCTTTGCATTTTTGCAATAATTTTTGTGAACCGTGTACAGTAATACCCCGAACTTATGCGATAGGTGGGATCGAGCGATAACCGCGTAAGTCGGGGTATAATTTCGCAATTTGTGTAAAATCCAAGTCGGATGTATGTAAGCTAATAAATGTTCTCATTAATCTTATCTCGTCTTTGGATTCGTTCATGGTTGCAAGAAATCACCACATAGAGCCTCTCAAGTCTCCGTAGATATAACAAACACAGAAATAAATTGTAGCTGTGTGTCGATTCCGTGCGACACGTCCGAACATGTAAGCTGAACAATAGTGTGGGGGGAGTGAGGAACGTGTAAGCTGAACAATAGTGTGGGGGGAGTGAGGAACGTGTAAGCTGAACAATAGTGTGGGGGGAGTGAGTAATCAAGAGTTGTGTGGCACTCAAACAAAAGACGAATTGATGAGATTTGAAAATCGCGTAACTCTGGGTTCGCGTAAGTCGAGGTATTACTGTATTCACGTTTTTTACCGGATGCTTACCCTCTGGTGTTTAAAACAAAACTGTTTTATCTGGGTTGTTTGAATCATTCTTGTATATTGTCAGGAGTAAACATGAATAGCAATAAGAAAAGCAAAGCTTTTGAATTGAATTCTGAATTGAAATTCCAAAATCACATGGGAGCCCAGTATAAGTTTTAATCCATTCCCATGTGAAAACGGATGATTATTTGGAAATCAGAATTTGGAGAAACTCATAAGTGTGGATTTGACTGTTAAGAATTGGCAAAAAAGGTTACCCGATTGTCCAGTTTTACATGAACAATTATATTGTCAATTTTAAAAAAATTTTCTGTAAAGTTTAAAATGCCAGTAATTTTTGCGGGACAGTGTGTGCATTTACATGCATTTGATGATATTTTATTTGTGATTAAATGAAATAAAATTAGAATTGTATTAATAAATCTAATTTTCTTTATTTTGATCTTTAAAGTCACACCTTATCCTATATGCAAGTAAATACAGTAAATAAAAATAATGGATTTTAGTTATTAAAAGACATGGAAAATTTTGTAGTGTTTGTTTTCCTTTTTCTTGGTCCCCTCTGGGTGCATCACTGGTATAGATGGCTTGTCAATTGCTTATTTTCTGTTTTCTCTAAGGATGGTACACTGTTGGATTCCAAGGAACCAGTTGGCCATAATAACATATCACTCACATTTGTGATATAGTGATGCAGTTATGAAATGTTGGCAATAGTGGATGAAAGGAAGCCTACAGAGCCATTAACAAGACTGGTCTGCATGCAAGACAACCAGCAGGAAAGATTGCAGGATAGTGAGAGAAGTCCTAGTTGCTTTGATGACATAATTGGTCACCATCCAGTGATAAACAAATGCCCTTTCTGTGATATATACTAGCAAGGTGCACTATTGCCAGGATTGGAAGGTGATTAGAAGAGGCAGAACTCTGTTCTAGATGCAGGAGTCATGCTGCATAGAGCCAAAATTGCCATTGGCAACATTTTTTATTAAAATGGCAATAAAAACCTTGTTTGCTTATTTTGACATAAAGCATGAAATTGAATCACAAAGCATGCTTCAGGAAAAACAGCAGAATGTTGAATCCTGTGTGATGGGAGTCCAGTGCTCCACACACCTGGTGATTTCATGATGTCATATTGCAAATTCGAGTGGGAAAGTAGGAAGTTATTGAAGACAGTTTTACGCTATGCTCCCCCCCAGCAATTCCAGATTGGAGATTTTTTAATGACCGACAGAAAATTTGTGGAATTTTTTGGGATAATAGTTTTTTTTTTCACTTTTGACCTTTTTTCAGTAGACTAAAACAAAAATTTTGACATGACAGAATATGTGAAATACTGTTTAAACATTATGATCAAATTTGTTATTCAGAATTATTCATCAGGAATTATTTTTTACTTCTAACAAATGACAGCTTAACATGTTACTTTTGCTTTCCAGACTCCAAACTGATAAGAGTACCAGTATTTGCATTAATTAGTAAGTAAAGTTGGTGGCAATAAATAATTTGAAGTGGTGGAAAAATTAAAAACTGGTGAAATAGTTGATTTTTTAAAAAAAATTTCCAGAAACTCCTGAAGGTGTAACTACTATATTTTTTATTTATTTTATTACGCATACTGGATACACTCCTTGATGCGGGGAGCAAAACCATCTCCCAAAGAACAAAAACACAAATACAATGATCATAAGATCACAAACAGATTATACAATAATAAATTAAATACATAACAATTTAGATATAAATTAAATATTAAAAAATCAAATATAATAATTAGTTAAAGTTTGGGAGCATCTGTCAATAAAATACAAAAAACCAATAAATAAAATAAAAACCAAAAATAAGCAAATTGCTTACCTATAAGAAAGAAATAAGTTAATAACGAAGATACAGCAGTGACAGATGCTCCCAAACAACACCAGCAACAAGGCTAAATTTATAGCAGAGGAATCACGCCCCCTAAAACAAAAGATCAACAGATTTTCTTAGAAAACAGAACACTTTAAATTGATAACATGGTACCGATATAATTTTAAAAAATAAAGACCTGGTAAGAACTTCACAACCGAAAATTTCTGCTCGTAACACTTTAAGACGCTTACATTTAGCCAAAATATGCCAAGCATCCACAATTTCTTTCTCAACACAAAAGTCACATGATTCTCTCGAATAATTATTTAAAAAATTTAGTGAATTACACCTAGCCTGTATAAATAAAGACAAAATATTAAGGGAAACGTCTTGATTATATAAAGAATTATCAAAAAAAGTAACATTTAAATCCTTATACCAACAATTATATACGCTATTATTTATTTTTTCATTAATATTATATAAAAAATTATCAAAAATGTTAACAAGGAGAAGAGACCAGTCCATTAAATTCAAATCATCATTAATAAGATTAATACCATGATTATTACAAGTATCAATAAAATAACGTGTCCAGTCAATAGACTTTTTACCAAGTATAAATTTCAAGCAAACCTTACTCAGACGATAGTCATCAAGATTAAAAATTCTAGTAATCCAATTTCTTATCTTACTAAATATTATAAATTTTATAGGAGTCAAGGCACATTCCATCATAATTAAATAACCTGGTGTACAACGTGGTAAATAAAATAAGTTTTTAATGAATTCAATCTGTATACCATCACCATTGGTCATGTTAAAACCCCAAATCTCTGAAGCATATAATAAAGAGGGCAACACCACAGTTTTCAATAAACGTAAATAATCAGTTAGATTACGTAATTTGGCAGACCTCCCTAACTGAATAATTTTATTTATCAATAATCTAGCATGAGTTCTCTTATTAATGTAATGCATACGGAATAAACCATTAGACGAAAATGTAACACCCAAGTATTTGTAATTAGAGACAACTTGAATTGGAGAACCTTTAAACCACCATTTATCCGCCCTTGCACTCTTACCTCCTCTTCGAAAAACAACAATCTTAGACTTATTCAAATTCAATTTCAAACCATTTTCGTCTAAATAAATTGCCAATTTATCAATCAATCTTTGAAGACCAACCACAGAATCAGATAAAATTACAATATCATCTGCATAAGCTAGTATTTTAATTTGGACACCATCTATTTCTATGCCATCACCAGAAGAGTTAATAATATCAAAGAGATCGTTCAAAAAAATACTAAACAAGATTGGGCTCAAAATACAGCCTTGCTTAACACCAGTCTTAGAAAACATTACTGGCGAGCAATTACCTCCAGCTCTTACCATAAGCGAAGAATTTTCGTACAAAGCAACAAGTAAAGATATAAATTTATAACTAAAACCATAACGCAACATCTTTGACCATAACAAATTCCTACAGACTCTGTCAAACGCAGACGATAAATCAACAAAAAATGCGTATATCTTCCTACGTTTTCGTAAAAAACTTTTCTGAATAACCGTGTACAAAACAAAAATGTTATCCAATGTGGAATAACTAGCCCGGAATCCTGCCTGATTTTCATGCAATATATTTTTAACTTCTAACCATTGAGTCAGTCTTCTATACAAAATAGTACAAAACAACTTCGAAACACAAGATGATAACCAGATGCCTCTATAATTACCAGGCAGATGTAACTACTAAAATGCCTGTCATTTAATGACAGAATATTAGAGACTATCTGACATGCTGCTATTCCTGGAAAGCATGATTCAGTTTAAAAAGGGATAAATCTTCACTGTGTAGAATATCTAATCAATACTCATAATCTAATTATTGAAACTTTGGTAATTTAAAATCATTATTGTTCAATATAGGGAAACAAGAATACATTATTTCTGAATGATGAATGGATCCAAAAGTTTTCCTAATTTTTTTGTTAATAACTCTCTATAATTTATGTTAGTAATTCCCCTCGTAGCCATTATTAGTGAATAAACATATTTTACTATTTTGTAGTATATTTAATTAATAGAAAGTAGAAAGGAAAAAAACATGTGAATGAATGTGTGTCAGTAAACAAATTTATGATGTCCAGAGACTCCAATGCTGCATTTAATGTTGCCAAAATATTGGTAAAATTTACTCTTGCATTTCAGTTCTAGTAAATACACAGGTAAATAATAATAAGCAAACCATTGCAACTTCCAATATTTATGATGATGCTATTCACACAGTGAAATGTGAGGAGTATGGTTGTTAATCATAAACTAGCTGTTAATTTCGTATGTCTTCTAACAAAATACTATGATCCCTGTAATTTATCATTTTCCCACAGCCCACTGGGAAACAATAGGGCCTAGATTGAAACCATTACTTTAGACTAATGGTCTTCAAATTTTTAATGTCTACAAAACATATCTGAGTACTAGAGAAAATGCCCAATGTTATCCAGGAACTCAGAGTGGGTTGAATTGTCCTCATTATAGGGTAGTAAATGTTTCCTTTAGAGTGGCAGAGAATAACTTTGTTGTGCTAGCTTATGTACAATAGAAAATAATAAGCTTTCCAATGGTGAAAAAATTTTTAAAAATTTGTTTAGTATATTCTGAGCTTATGTTAAAGTAAGAAACAAACTTTCTTTATACACATTTATTTATATTCATAATTTGCTTGCCCTTGACATGGACATATTTTGTGACAATTGTGTCTTTCTTTTAGGCATTTTATTGTCAATAAGGCTCACTCGCATATTCACACAACTGAAAAGTAACCAAAAGAACTCAATTTATGTAGGTAGCTATCTCATAAGACTAATTCTTGTTTTTAAATAATGGTATGGCAAGATTAATACTAAAACAATGAGAACATAAAAATACTATAGGTCCAAGTACAAAAGTTTAGTTCATCCAAAGGAAGTAAATTGTATACTATGTACCTCCGAAACCTTTAACCGATGTGAATAAATTTAACATTACTAACGTTTTCAGACCCCTCCTAGGTCCTTCTTCAGGTAAAAATTGTCAAACTAACCATTCATTTCGAAAGAATTTTTCAAAACATCGAACGATAGAACAGCATCACGTGTTCCATATTCCCGAATGTAAAAGTTTCCATGTCATAGCGGAGGCAATTGAAAATATTTTTCTTTTTATTTTTTATATAATTACTGTTGTAAGATCTTTGATGTTAAGCAAAAAACACATTATATGCATACTGTCTACCCTTTCATCCTCCTTGCTTAAGTTTTTTGCTGTCTTCTCTCATCCACCTCCTTCAGGTTTTGTCTTCGACACCGCAGTATATTACCGTGCTAGACTTTAAATCTATGTACCCATTGGTGGAGCTCCCTCCAGCTTTTTGCTCCCTTAGGGACTTTTTGCTTAATTTGACTCAAGAACAAGCATTACACCAGCAAGTCATTGAATTAGCCCATCTGATCTGTTATAATTCTATCTTTGCGTTTGACGGAGAAGTCTACATACAAAAAAGAGGAGTCCCCATGGGTAGCCCAGTATCCGGGGACCTATGCGAAATGGTTGTTAGACAACTTGAACGAAAAATACTTCCACTGTTCCTCCCGAACATCTTACTCTATAGGAGGTATGTGGACGACATCCTCATCATGATGACAATACCTGACATCTCAAATTTCGTACAAACCATTAACAATAATCCCTACGGCCTAATGCTGGAAATGGAACAATCTAGCAATACTGAGGTCCACTTTTTGGATATAAACATTAACTCCTTAAGGACATTGACATTTTTTATATAGATTTCAATTAAAAGTAAAAAATACTTAAAACAGAAAAAAAAACGAAAGAAATGCGTTTATTTTGAAGAAAAAGCTTTAAATTTTATTTTCCTTTGTTTCGCCTGTCTGTGAAATGTAACACCGATGAGTCATTGTTTACACAGCTGGGTGACCTTGAACACAGCTGGAGTCGGATTTCCCGGGACATTCTCATAGACGTCTCGGGAGGACAAGGGTTTAAAGTAGGGTGACTATAAGCGACACAAATTTTTAAATATTTTTAAAAAATTCAATATTTTATTGCGATTTCCGACCCCCCC